TTAACTAAAATAGGAATTTGAACAAGACATGAATATGACTAATTTATTTGGGGTATTGGACATGGACTGTGTGGGTCCTTGCGTTGGGTTTATTTCAATAACTCTTTTTAATATAAGGATTTTTCAAATAAGACATATTTGGGACTATGAAGATTAGGAAAGTTAAAAGGGGTTGTTTGTTAATGTTACCATTTTAAAACTTTTTGTTTTTTATTTTTAAATAAAAAATATATAATTATATTTGGTAACTATTTTTTGTTTTTTTCGGTTGGAAAAGAAGGAAACTTTGAAAACCGAACCAGAAACAAGAAATTTGTCCAAAATATTTATACAATTCTTGGAAATGTTTCTTAAAAATGAAAAACAATAAATATAATTAATTTTCAAATGTTTAAGTTTCTCAATTAAACTAGAAACAAAAAACAAGAAACCAAAACGTTACTAAACGGCTTTAGTTGTATTTCCATTTTTTCCCTCATTTTCAATTTTAAAAAAACATAAGCATTTGGTAACTATTATTTATTCTTATTTAACCTAATTTGTGAGCCAATTATGTCCTCATAAACCCTTTGTATTAAATGACAATTTTGATTCCTTTGCTTAGTCAAAATTTAACCTGGGTGGTCCATATACTTATTTTATTTTGTCTTTAGAGTGGTCCATATATTTATTACTACACTTATTATTATATATATTTTTTTAAGTTCAACAAAAAAAAAGTGGGAATATTCAAACTTCCGACTTTTGAAAAGATAAATAATGTAACTATCTAACTTATGTTATGCTTGTTATTTTACTTAATATTATATCTTATAAAAATATCAATACAGTATGTGATATTAAGTATCACTTATTTTTCTACAAGACAATTTGGAGTGGAAGGAGGGGTGAGATTCAAATATTTAATTGGTATTATACCAACTAGAGATATAACTAAATTTGATATGATGTCATTTTTCGACTTTTTAATTCGTTATTAAAACTATATAATAGACAAAGGTGTCACATCAACTTTAGTGTTACAACTTTCTTGTGGATAATTATACCAAAGACTATTAATATTTAGAAGAAAAGAAAAGGGGTAAGATAATAATTGAGGCTTTATGGCCTTAAGATTTGAAGCAAAAATTAACATAAATATTTATATGTCTACTGTTAACTYGAAAGAAATTACAAGTTTATCATCTTTTCAATCTTTATYTCTTTTTTTAGTACAACATGTARGGTGAGTTATTCAATTAGCAACTTCTTAATTAAATATATGTTTCAATTATCGCTGAGGTATGCTCGTTTTGACGTTCTCTTTTTTTTTCTCTCACTATTACAATAAGATAAATAAAACTTGAGAAATTAAACCAAATATTATATGATTGAGTTTAATTCTTAAAAAGAAAAAAATTATATGATTGAGTAACTTTATTTACTTTCTTTTATTCTATTATATTTATTAACTTTCAAAATATCTATTTTAATTTTTAATTTTAAAAAATTAATTATTTTGATTCTCACCTATCATTTACCATTCATTCATTTGACCGGTGACATAGTTTCAAAAAAATTATTTGAGCTATATAGGTCGACTAAAGTGGGTATTAAGTAGACTAATAATAAATGATAAAAATATTTTTTTTTCTTCATCGACCAAAATTGATATTTTAAAAATTTATGGATTAAAATAATTCATTTTCAAAATTTTAAGGTAAACTATAACAAACATAAAAGTTTTTTTTATCTACAAAAAGTTTTTGTACAGAATTAAATTTGATCACTACAAAATCAACTATTAAATAACTTCGTCCAAATTTWAAAAAAAAKCATGCTCTATCGACTTTTTAAATCCATAATTTTCACATATAATATATTGTTTAATACTTTATCAAGTTTTCAAACCGAAAGCCTATTAAAGATTAAAAATTATAATATTTTTTAAAGTTTAGAATAAATATTAAGATATTTATCTAAATTTAGGGTATAATTTAACGAAATAGAAAATTTATAATAGGCATTGATATATACCCCAATTTCCCTAAAATCTGCGGCCCAACGATGCTAAAAAAGAGTTAAACCTATTAAGTACAAACTTAAAAGAAAATGAAAAGAAAAAATATAAAGAAAATAAAGAATGAGTAAAAACATATGTGAAGTGTTCCCCTGAATTTGATTGAACAGAACATTGCATGGGGTGCGAAAAACAAACTTAATTAAGAAAAATTATAATATATTTAAGTTTAGTTATCGAGATAATCATTAGAGGAATGATGAACTCAACTAACTCCATTCTAGATTTGTTCACCCAACTCATCATTTTATGGCACTAATCTCCAAGATTTTTTTTCTTGAAGATCTCCTTTCGTTTGTATTTAATGAAGAAAAAAAACTATATATATATTCTTTTTTTTTTGAGAAACGAAGAAAATATATATTTAATTCACTAGGTATATAATATTCATATTTTGATTTTAACTTTTAAATCCGGCTTAAATTTGCATAGTTTTAATTTGGTTCATTAATTTAGTATTTATCGTTGTTTTGATTTTAAATATTTCGACTTGGTTCCTATAAATTGATTAAATCTAAAAAGTCATCTGTAAATTGTCTTTTACTTCCCTAAAAAAGTCACAATTTTTTTACTCAGATCCTAAATCCATAGTTATCTAATTAGAAGAGACCAACTAATTGCCACATAAACAAAATGCATCAATATATGGATATGTAATTTATGATATTTGCCTAATCTACGGAGACTTTTTTTTTTCTCCAATAACTGTGAGTGTCCCTGACACCTTAAGCGTACCTCAATTAATCTCACGTACAATCGCCTACGCTTACTACATTTGATTACCAAGAAAATTCATTGAATATTAAATCTTAGGTAAGTGACCCACCATTGTTTTAACCAACGGGCCAATCCATAATAATAAAGTGAAAGTGAACCTACACTATCTGAATTAAATTACAAATTTTAGTTTAACATTAAACCAAAATGAGAGGAAAACCAAAATTTTAGTTTAACATTAAACTTTTTGGTATTAAAAAATTTCAATTCAATCTTTAATAATATTGTTAAAAGAAAAAAAAAACGATGATCGAGTCATTTAAAAATGGTATTGTTTATCTAAGATAGTCTATGCATAGCAGCATAATTTCAACGGACTATTTAAGATCCAATAAATTATTATGAGATTAGTAGATATTAAAATTTTTGTATATATTTACAACAAATGTGGTGGGAATTTAAGTTTTGACCTCAAGGTATGTAATTGATATCTTATCTCTTGAACTATGTTTAGATCACTTAAATTTATTGGGTGAAATTTTACAAATTATTAAACTAAATATGGGGTATGTATAATCATGTAAATATTTTAAAACCAACCTCAAATATTAAATCTTCACAATTTAAGCTTGTTTAATTATTAATTATTTTGTGCCAAAACGAACCTAATTCAATGATAATTGATATATATCTACGATCAAGTAGGTATGAATTTGATCCCCACCCTACATGTTTACTTACTGAGAAAATATATATATATATATATATATATATATTAATTATTTTGTCGAAACGAAAGCAAAAACATATAACTCATTCCTTTAAGACTATAACTCCCTCAAGCTTCAAATCTCCTCAACTGCACTAAAAAAATAACTATTTTTATTTAATTTTGACATTCTAGAAGTATTTAAAAATTTTAGCCAAATTTAAGAAAGAAAAAGAAAAACTTATCTTCCTATATTTTTTTTTTACGTTAAATAAGAGAATGAAGTTAGGATTAATTTATCTAAAAAAAAAGAAAGTAAGAATTACTCTTTTTTTTTCTTACTATTGCTATTTGTTTTTAGTTAAGTACGATATAAGGATTAATTTATCTAAAAAAAAAGTAAGAATTACTCTTTTTTTCTTACTATTACTATTTGTTTTTAGTTAAGTACGAGATATATATATTAGAAGCATATAAAAAGAAAATAATAATACAGTTTTTTTAAATATGACATAATATAATTAATATTACCAAAATTAATTACAAAAAAAATTCCAATCAGCTTTTCATTTAACTAACGAAAGGGTACTAAAAAAAATTAAAACTAATGCTAATAAAATTAGTAAAGTTTGTTAATTTTAATAAACAATTTGGGGATGTAGCTCAGATGGTAGAGCGCTCGCTTAGCATGCGAGAGGTATGGGGATCGATACCCCATATCTCCAATATTTTAATTTTTACGTAATCAACGGCTAAGATCTGAGCGTTACATTTACTTCCTCGATCAACGGCCAGAATGTCAAGATTGCTGCCCAACCTATCAAGAAAGGGGGATCCATCCCACCATATTGGCGCCTCCCAGTTCGTAATTTCCCGCCGATTCAATGCGAGCCTGGTTTTTTTATAACTGTTCACATTGAAATTTCTGTTGATTGAGCATTTTATCAACTTGTTATTGTTCGTTTTTCGAATCAGTTCTAAAATTTTCGGTCAGTAATCTGAATCTGATCTCCGTCATAAGGATTTACATGCGGCAACCTCGTCTCTGTATTCGCTGCTCGATAGGTCAGTAAACTCAGTTCCCTGCCTGGTTTGATCATCTTTCACCTTGAAATTTAGTGTTCTTCGACCTTCTTCCTTGGATTTTAATGTTTATTTTTCAACTAATTCGAATTTTAAAGTGTTTTGACGGTCATCCGATTCCACTGATTTTACTAAAGAAGTTACTAATTCTGTGCCTCAAATTCTAATTGACAATTTTGCCGTCGGTATTTTCCTTTCTTCTCCTGTTATTCTGGCGCTGTATACTCTGTTGACCACTTAGTTGATGAAATGCCAGAGTGAAATAATTGAATTTGTCCTTCTGACTTTATACTGATTAGACATTACATTGGCTCGCCTTTAGAATAGGAATATCATTTGTAGCAGTAACCAATAAAGGTAAACATATATATTACATATTATTCTTTCCTTTTTCTTTTTCTTTTTTTAATGATTGGAAAGCGAACGGAACAGTAATCATAAAAGTACACTTAAAAGCAGAATAATCGAGTACAAGAACAAACAGGTTACGTTACAACTTACAATAGTTTAGTTTTACATGCTAGAAAGGACAAACAGGGGTGGGAAAATAGAGAAACACTGACACCAAGCCATATTCTTGTAATCATCGAGAACAGCGCTTCTGCAGCTCTTATTTAGACCATGATCTGTAGTACCTTGCCTTATTGGAGCTTTAGATTCTTCATGAGCCTGCAATTGTCAAGAAGAACAATAAAAAGATTAGTCAGATGTTTCTGAGTGAATATATGGACAATTAGTTCTGCAAGTTTGCAGTGGGATACTTCACGGCGAGTTCTCGGGTCTAGTTGATGTTTAATTAACGCAACCCATGTTAGCTTAACAGTTTTCTTAATTAGTTTTGTGGCCATGTACTGAAGTAGATCCCAATGTTAATGAAGGGATTTATAAATACGTACGTAGATGTCTGAACTCAGAAATACAGGACCATGTGCTCGTAATTTAAAGCATGGGAGATTAGATTTCACGTGGCCTTTGCCTTAAAAAGTAGAAGTGGGAACGCATGAAAATAGAAACATGAGTTTCCGGGGTTTAGTAATTTATGTTCAAAGTCGACAATATTATACCAAGAAATATGCGAGATTCATTGTCCAAGCAAAGATGAATATCTAGCCCTAATTTATGTGGTCTTGATGCAAGAAACATGTTATATGAAGGTCTTGTTCCCCTATGAACTAAATATCAAGTGATCTTGATGACTTTTTGAGAATGAAAGTATTGGGGTTGCAAAGGGGTGCAAACAAACTTTCACATTTGTTAAGGAAAAGAGTGATCCATAGTATATATACGAAGATTAAGAACAATTATCTCTATTACTACGAGATCTTTTAGGTGAATTAAAAAGCAAAGTCAAAAAGATTATGTTCAAAGTGGACAATATCATACAATTGTAGAGGTAATTGGGGTACGAGGATACCGTGAATCGTTATCCTTAATAAAAAGAAAAAAAGACAAAGACAGAGACGTTACCTCTGCTCATGATCACCATTGGATACAGCGGGCTTGTAGTTGGGAAGAGGGACCTTTCCAGATTCTATATGCATGAGATCTTGCACCAATATATCATAATGACATTTTACTTCCTCAGCCGTTTTTCCACCTACAGCCCTGGCCACCTTTTGCCACCGCTCTGGCGTGTCCTCGTGGTATAAAGCCAGAGCATCCTCAAATTTTTTGTTTTGCTTATGCGTCCATGAGGAGCTAGAACTTGTTGCCATTATATTAAGGAAGTTTGGAGAGAATAAGTAGGTGATGATATTGCCAAAAAGCCAAAAAAGCCAAAAAAGCGGAACAGAAAGTATAGCAAGACAAAGACCAGAGAGAGGACTAATTTAAGTCAAGGGTATGGTGTGAATGTGGGCACAAAGTGCTTCTTATATACTCAAGGTGTGGTAGTGGGATTAAGCAAGTTGAAGAATTCTTTATAGGGTGATTCCCTTTGCCTGAGAAAGTGAGTGACCGACCATCGGGTCGTAAAATCTTTTCAGAACACTGTTCTTGTCACTTATAACATCATCACTTCACCAACAATTGGGGGAATTCTTGAGAATTTATTGTGGTGGGGGATTAGATCCAATTCTTAGCCTACGCAATAACACACTTTAAGCCGCTTTTCCATATAAATCTCCACCTTTCCTCTGTCATTTTTTTAAGCTTCCACTCAACTTTCTTAAACTATCACTCAACTTAAAAAGATCGGAGTACTTAAATTAAGATAAATTTGATATTTAATTTTATATTACAGGAATTCAAACATAGAATCTTCCACTATCGTAATTCAACCCAAAAACACAATTAAGGTGGTTTAATAATTTTTTTTATCAATACTTTAATTAGCTACTAGCAATAAGTTAATTGGCTGTTTGCAATAAATTTATCCAAGAATAGTAGGATCATCGCTCTCATTACCTTTTTAGTAGGAAGAAACGGTCAGCACTGGCTGAAGGGATTTTTGCAACATTAACTTGGACGTTGAAATAAGCTTTTAAGATAGCCTATGATATGCCCGCATCGGAACCTTTAGGCTTTAGGAATGGGAACTTTTTAGGGATGTGAAGTTGAGAAATAAAGTATATAAGAATCAGTGTTTGAAATGAGGAAATAGGATGACTAGAATACTGTCGAATTGAACGTGAGATTGTGAGAGGACACATTTGGACATGTTAATAAAACACTAACTTTATGATAAAAGCAACTTTTTGAGTAAATTGTCAAAATAAATGTAACTCAACAGGTATTTTACTGTAACTCAGATGTCGAAAGCTTGATCCTTACTTTATGTACAATAAAGAAAGAAAAACTTTTTACCAGACATGATTAAGAATATTATAATTTAAAGTTAAAATTGAGAATAATATTAAATTATTTAAAAGACGAGAGACTATTTTGTATATCTAGAGTTACCAAACTTCTTAAACTTTTCAGTCCAAATATTAGAGTTTATAAACTAAAATTAGGTTTAAGCTTTTATAAATAATTAGCATGATTATTAAGAAAAATTTCGGACACTGTTCAGTCAAAAAGTCTCTAGATTTCATAATCTTTATATCCTAAAAGATTCTATAAAAATTGGACGCAAAAATATTTAAGTTTAGATGGCAAATTATTTAATTACTCACGCACTCCAAATATTGGGTGGACACTTGATTTAGAACATTAGATTTTGTATAACATTTAAACACAAATTATAGGATTCAATAGCTTATTAGACACAAATCCTAAAAGTTAAGGGGCTCGAATATAGTTTAATATCTTTAGATACCAAAAATTATAACGTCTTATAATGTCTCCTATGTATGTATTAAGGGTGCAGGGTGTACCTGGATGATTTCTCTGGATTGGATATAAGTTATTGATTAGGAACTGTTGTATTGAGTTAAGATTGTGAATTAATACATATATTATATTTTTGACAACTTGCTAGGGGATCTCAGTTTACTCCGACAGGAAGGACCAAGCAATAGAGGGCAATATTCAGGTAAATGTTGTAGCTTTCTCTAAAGATTCTTCCAAATCTATATATCCTTTCCATTTAGAATCCTTATCATCACTAGTAGGCCACACAATCACATTGAATGGCCTCTGGGTGGCTTCCTTCTCAATCCCAAGTGGAAAGGAGTTCCTGATCATCATTCTTTTTTCTTTCCGTGCTTGTGAAACAACGTAATTGTCTGTCTCTTTTGTAAGTTTAGGGGGAAAAAACTTTTGAATTATATATTTGACGTGTTAAATCCCCGTTAAGTTGGATTTTAAAGCTCATTTTTTTTAGTTCGACAACACGTGGAGTTAGGATTTGAATCTTTAACGCTTTAATCGATGATGTTATGTTTTAACCAATTGAGTCCATATCAATACTCTTTTTTAAATGTGGGCTTGAATATTGGTATTATGACTAACATATAAATTATTAATACCAAACGAGAAGGAATCATAGGTAAGACTTCTGAATAACTCATTATTAAATTTAAGGTTTGGTTTGGGTATAGTTTCAATTGGTCTCAATAGTTTTAAAAGCAATTCCAATTTAATCCTTATAGTTTAGGTTTAGTTTCAATTTTATTCTTATCATTTTCAAAAATTTTGATTTGGTTACTATAGTTCAGTGAAATCTCACAATGATAAATACACCCACAGTTTTTATTATGCAATTTTCTTTTTTTGGTTGTCGTCAATTTGGTATGACGCAGAGATGATTATAGGGGTCAAATTGGAACTGAATCGGAATTAAAATTTTAATAGTTAAAAACTTTAAACAGGCAATGTCTTCTTTAACCATTCCTCAAAAGTTTTTTACTGCCACAGCAAAATAGCTACACAAATGACATATGTTGCTTTCGTTGAATTTAGATGGGTACCACATCTATGAGGAACTTAGCATCTGATATCTCTCTCTTTGAATAAGTGGAATCCTTCTTGGCACAATTATAATTTTTGAATCTATATTTTGAAAGAAGAAAATCTTTATGGTGCTCGAATGTTCCAAAGAGGAATAAAAGGCTAATATGATTTTTTAAAACTACCAACCAATGTAAATGGTGAAATTTTTGGCGAGGAATATACACTTTTAAGCATGTTGGGCAATAATTCAATCCATATTGCTCTAATATAATTAATTAATGCAATTTGGTTGCATTTTCTTTGATTTTATTCTGATTAAGTATATATGTTTTATTGTTTTTAACTGGCTACAGTTGGAATATTTGTATGGTTATCCGTGTATGTGCCCTTTTGGTTGATTTGTAAAATATTCTAGCCCATTTTTCTTTCAACATTATTATTACTCTGCCCTTTGTGATCACAGAGAGTTATTTTCCAGAAATTGTGTTTGATAAATATTTCTATTCTTGAAAGCTTACAAAATTCTTATCTAATTTTCTATTTAATTTTCAATGCCCTGCCAGTGCCAGCAAAGGTAGTTGATAGTTTTGTGGCCCTTGCTTCCATCATAGTATTGCTCGTCCATTTTCATAAGCTAACATTTCTTCATGTCAAGGAGTTCTTACGGCCATAATTGTTTGTGTTCTAATGCTTTCTATTTTAATTACCTTTTTTTTCTTTTGGCTTAAGAATTATTTCCACTTTTATTCTGCAGTACTTTCAAAACGTCTATTTTTATCTTTATATTTTCAACTTGATCTATTTATTTTCTTTTTTATCTCATTTAGCATAACATTGAACTCATTACATTTTTTAAGACATATAACTATAATTTTGTATTAAAGATTTTATGTTGTTTATATAGTTTATGTTAAAATTTTACCGAAGGGGACCAAAATTGGTGTTTTGAAAGTAGAAAAATTAAAATGAATAAAAGTAGAAAGTACAAGAATCAAAATATTAAATGTTTTTTTAGTTAAATTATTAGGGAGATATGACACCGAATAATAGTCTTTTGAAGTATAAGTTCTTGTAAGCAACAACAAATAGAAAGTAGGAAAACTTTGTTGAGTGAGCTTCAGGTTACATAGCCTCAAGTTGCAGGGCTGTGGCATGAGAATCTTGGAGCTGCGGTATGAAAATATTACAGCTTAGGTGAATGGTTAAAAGTATGAGGTATTTATCACAAAATGAATATGTATTTTCAAATATATGGTAGATAAATTTTTATAAAACTGGCATAATTCAAATCAAATTCAAATAGTCAAATGTAATATAGAACACATTAGAAAAAATCATACTTATGCTATATTAAAGAGAGAGGGAGAGAAAAGTTGTGGATTATTTTTTAGTATAAAAGATGACCTTGTTGAAAGCTGTGACATTTTGTAGAATAAAGTTAAATTTATATTATGGGGTGGAATTTGTTTAATATTTTTATGTGGTAACAAATTTTTGTTTAAATGTAATTTAATATATATTGAAAGAACTTGTAGCTTGTTGGCTTGGTAAAATAGACCCAAGTTCGAGTCTCGAATCGATACAAATACAAAAAAAAAAAAAATTAATATATACTTTTAAATTTGAAGGGTTTGTTTATGCTTCAATTAAGAAAGAACATTTTTAATTAAAAGAACCAAAACATCATTATTATTTAATTTTAATGAAAATAATGGAATATTTGAAACATAAGTTATGATAGGATTATTGGAAGGTTTAGAAATTTAAAATTGCGAGGATGAATTTGTTTTAAAATAAAGGATTTTAATAATTAAATAAAGTAAATCGTCACCTGTCATATCCTGCTGGAATAGCTCAGTTGGTTAGAGCGTGTGGCTGTTAACCACAAGGTCGGAGGTTCAAGCCCTCCTTCTAGCGATTTTTTTGTTATTCCTTTTTTCCCTCCTTTTTAGTATTAGCGTAATTTTCAACCAATGATGTCCTTTTTGTGTGTCCTTTTTACCCCTTTCCTTTTTCCTCCTCTCTTTCTTTCCACGATTCATATATTTTTCTTAATTTTTTTTCTCCCTAACTTCGTTTATCTCCCATTTTTTCACTTTCCAACCTTTTCGTTTCCTCACTTTTTTTCATCTTTTTTCTAAAACTTGTGTAAATAATTTAAAATTTTTAATCGTGTTTGGAGCATGTTGGTGGCCAAATTACAACATGACACGTAACCATATAAACTCGCTCGAGACAATCGGAAGTGAAAATTTAAGCCAACCATACATACCGACCTGAATGATCGTCGAGTAGATTTCAAATCAAAATGGGAGGTTGGAGAAAAGCTCCGGCTAAGCACCCATGGGACTCGAACTGGAGAGCGGTATCCTCATTTGCCACAAATCCTCGATGCCACAACTGTTGGTGGTAATAACATTGTTAACTTCATGTGAGAATGAAATCATTTAATTTAATTTAATCTAATAAGATCAAATCAAATAAACTTAATAAATTTAAACTTTCTAATAAAATTTAGAAAAACTTGTACATGTCTCCATTTAAATACTTTTTTAAAAAAATTAAATTCAATTATTTTAAATCTAAACAAAATAATAAATATGTTTATTATAACTAAAAAGAACTTATTAATCTCTGAACTAAAAATTTTCCCATCATTTCCCTGTTTGTTTTCTTTCTTATTATACTATCACAATCCCCTGCCACCTTAATTTTTTTTAAGAAAACAGGTTCTCATCATAGAAGAAAAAACCTCCATTAAAATGAACGAAAGTAAACAAATAGCATATTAAAAGAAACACAAGAATTAAAGGTAACTTGCAAAAAGATTAAAAAATACTTTCACTAAAAAATCAAAAGAGAGATTATAAATGTATCTATCAATTTTTTTTCTTTTTTGAACCTTGTTATTAAATTTGAAATAAAAGGAAAATACAACTTATAAGTAATACACTAAGCAAAAATAGAAAATCAACTTGAATTTATCCAAAAATATGTTTATAAAAGACAAATAAAAGTTTATCAACGTGTTAAATATTGTATGAGTGTAAGATGGAGTAGGATGAAATTAGAATTATGTATGTTTTAATTTTAAATCTTTATGCATGTGACGTATTTGGGATTAAAAWTTTTTTAACTCAAAAACCTTTTTTYCTTTCAAACCAAACACGGAAAGTGATTTTAAAATGATTTCTTAATTCAAGTTCCAAATAAAGGGTTATTTTAACATTTTTTTTATACCAATAAGAATTGTTTCACTCTATTTAACTTATTCTAACAATTATCTCTARACTTGTCTTTTCCTTTTTTTTTTCTTTCGTTTATTTTTATAATATTTTATAATAAAATTACATCAACTCATACGAGTTGTATACTTTTTCTTTATTTGAAGAAAATTTATTAATTGTAAAAATAAATGAAAAAAGAATAAAATTATAAAACAATTGRGAAAAATATTTTTATTTTTGCCCACACAAACTTAGTTAAGACTAAAAACTCAAAACATATTAGTACTTCTGGTTAAATCTCTCATTCTCATATTTATTATATTATACGAGAGAAATGTGATTATTTTGAGAGTGATTCTCAAACTATGAAGTAAGTTCTACGGATTAAAATTTTATTCAAGAGAAAARWTTTGTCCTACATTTTAATAAATACCATTWAAAAAAATAATTTTCATTGCCTTGGACTAAACGAGGCTGAGTTAATTTGATGGATATTTGGAAAAAGAAAGAAAGAAAGAAAAAACTCCTTGGAAGATGAAAAASGAGAGGAAATAGATAATATAGGAAAAACAATATTTAAAATAATTGGGAATATTTTTATTTTTGGTCCAAACGAGGGCGAAGCACATAATTTTGGAGAGGGCGCTTAGAAAATTGAAGCCACCCCACGAATTCAGTCTTCATTGATCGTTGCTTGCCATATACGGCCTCTCTCTTCTCATCCATATACTCTTCTTCCACTTCCTTTTCGGATTTTCGAGGTTTGGTTTCTGTTTCTGCTACCTTCTCAATTCGTTTTCCGAACCCTAGTTCTCCGATTTCTTGATTTTCTTTTACTGAACTCTTGCTATGTTCGTTAGAAGGGATTGATTGATTTCGTTCTGTAAATTCCATTTTTATCGATTTGATTGCGGAGTTTGATTGTTATATGTTTTGGATTTTTTTGAAATCGGTTTGGAATCCGAACTGCCATTTGGTTGCTGGATGTGAAAACGAAGGAAATGAAATGCGAACGGTGGGAAGCAGCAGGAGATCTACAATTCATTTGACTTTCCTTGTTCTTGGCAATAGATTCGATCGACGCGCTTGTTTTGCTCCTGGCCGTACTTAATTGATTGACCTAAAGTCATTCTTTACGATTCGCAGGATATCTAGGGGATAATTTTTTATGGAAGGAGTTGGGGACGACGCGGCCTCAGCAGTAGCACCTCTGGCCAAGTGGAGAAACGATTTTGCCAGAGCATTTCAGTATTACTTGGATCGATCCACTCCTCACCCAGTCCAGAGGTGGTTGGGAACCCTTCTTGTTGCAGCAATTTATGTGTTGCGTGTTTTCTACGTTCAAGGGTTTTATGTTGTTTCATATGGCTTGGGAATCTATATCTTGAATCTCTTGATTGGGTTTCTGTCGCCGAAGGTTGATCCTGAGCTCGATGTTTTAGACGGAGCTTCCTTGCCTACTAAAGGTTCTGATGAGTTTAGGCCCTTCATACGCCGCCTTCCGGAGTTCAAGTTTTGGTATTCCTCTTTGCTTTAGCTAGTTTAGTAATTTTGCTTTCTGCATTTCATTGCGTTTAATTTTGGAAATGGTTTTTGGCTAACTATCATGTAAGTTATGTTCTGGTTTTTTCTAGCAATAATTAAAAGAAGAGTTTATTGCTGAAAACTATTATGCGGTGCTGCATTTGATATTCCTTTCTCGCTCTTGATTTTGAAATGTTGTAAAAGTTATATRTATAACTTGCACTCTGAAAAAGATTAATGTGTACTTCTGTAAGGTTCTTCTTGCCAAGTGTAAACATATTGCAAAAACTTGTCATTGCATGGAGATGGGGTGAGTTTGATGTCGGTGGTGAACTCGTTTTCTCTTGTCAAGTGTCAACTTATTTCAGACACTTGCCATTTCATGATCAGGATCGACATTCACTGAATTGTGAAGTATTAGATACTATTAGTGAATTGTGCAGCATTACATACTTTTGGCTTTGATGATTCCGGTGGACTCTTTCACTTTCAATTGTCCAACTTAATGCAAATGATTGTCATTGCTCGAGGTTGGAGTGAAATGTGCAGCATCTGCCACTGGTATCATTTAGTTGAATTCATGACTTAGTGGACTCTTGAGCCTTTTTTTCCTTTCTTTTTTTCCAGGTACGCCATCACCAAAGCTTTTTGTATTGCCTTCTTCATGACCTTCTTCTCACTCTTTGATGTTCCTGTCTTCTGGCCCATTCTTCTTTGCTATTGGATTGTTCTATTTGTCCTGACAATGAAGCGCCAGATCATGCACATGATCAAATACAAATATATTCCTTTCAGCATTGGGAAACAGGTTAGGCAACAAGAGCTTGGTAAATAGTCATGTAACACCCCTCCTGCTCCCAGAGCCAAAAAAAAAACAGAGAGAGACACGCCGCACCTTCAGAGAGAGAACTTGGCCAATAATCATGTAACACCCCTCCTGCTCCCCAGGGCAAAAAATAGAGATTGAAAGTAGCCAAGCCATGTACTCCCACCGCAGGAAAAAGAGAGAGAGAGAGAGAGAGAGAGTAGGCATGTACTTCTACCCCAGGGTCAAAAAACAGAAAGAGACACCCCACCCAGAAAGAGAACTTGGCCAATATTCATGTTAACGCCCCTCTGCTCCCCATGGCAAAAAAAAGAGATAGAGAGAGAGAGAGACTAGCCATGTATCTCTACCCCAGGGCCAAAAAACAGAAAGAGACACCCTCCCCAAAGAGAGAACTTGGCCAATAATTGCCTAAGGGGCTGCCGAATCGGTAAGGGCTTGAGATCTCTTGGTCACAGGTCTCAAGTTCGAACCTTTTGGTGTGCTTAATATCAAAAGTCCTTGATGTCTTCTAGGTTCGGGCCTTGGGTGGGTGCGGGTGCTCCTAGATGTAACTCCCAGTAATAAAAAAAAACTTGGCCAATAATCATGTTAACACCCCTCTTGCTCCCCATGGCAAAAAAAAAACAGAGAGAGAGAGAAGCCAGTAGCCATGTACTCCCACCGGGGGCAAGAGAAAGAGAGGGGGGGCCGTGTTCGTTCTGTAAAATATTGTAACTTAAACTTTTTTGTTTGCTTTTGTGACAGAGATATACAGGAAAGAGGCCTTCTGCAAGTAGCAGCGGCATTTCAAGAGACTAAGTTCCATCACTCACTCACTCACTCACGCCCCTCTGGTTAGTAGTAGTAGACAGAAGAAGTGTGCAGCATTCCAACTCTTTCTTCAGTTTCCCTAAACGAGCGCAATCCAAACACCGCTTGAAGAACCCAGCTTTTGGTAATATGTGATGTTGTAATAGGTTCTCTCTTTCCCGTCCCGTGTCGATCACAAATTATATTCTATACTTAGTTTTTCTTCTTGTGTTTGTACTGTCTAATCTCTAGGCTCTAATACAATAGAAGGAAGCTGGCTTATAATTTTTTCTACTTTTTTTTTGTATCTTTATTATTATTTTTTATTAATATTCGTTGGCTTCTGATTTTCATTTAACTTTCTTTCTACTCGAAATTGCACCACAAGCTTCTCTGAAATGGCAAGTGGGACTTTACTGAGGTTTCTTTAAGATGATGAAGATTAGAACAGAAGACATGGACATGGCCATGGCCTTTAGGATGCTTATTGTCTGATTTGTTTTTTTTTTTTCGTGGTTAATACAAAGGTGCAGGTGGAATGCCAGATTTTTACAATTTTAATAGAATCCCTAGGATTAAATTAAAATTTTGGATTTCAAGTCTCTATTTCATTTTTAAATTTTTAAAAAAGTTACAATTAAGTCTGACAAATGGATTGCTCAGTTTGGATTATAGACTAATAGTTATATCTTAGTCTTAATTTAAATTTGTTTTACTTGACTGTCCATAGAGCCAGACACAAAATCCCTTTTTAAAGATTGTGTGTGCATGGGAACGTGATTTTGAAAAAAGAGATTTGAGTAAAATTGATTTTCTAAAATTACTATAGCTGTGTGATATCTTAAAAATCAGCTTAAAGTGATTTTAAGATTTTCTAAAATCAATTTTTTAATTTACCAAATATGATTAAAAATCAGTTTAAAGTGATTTTAAGGTTTTCTAAAATCAATTTTTTTAATTTGCCAAAAAATCTTAAAATCAATTTTTTAATTTATCAAATATGATTAATGAAGTGATTTTGACATGAACACTCCTATATACATGTTTGAGAATGATTCTTAAGTAATTTTGAAAAAAAAATAAAAAAATCAGTGATTGAGAATCACTTATGTTTGGGAGTGATGGTAGAATAAGGATTTTGGAAAAAGAGATTTATAATTGATTTATCAAAATCACTATTTAATTGATTTTTAAAAATTAATTTAGAATTATTTTAAACTTCTCAAAAATCAATTTTTAGATTTTTCAATCGTTAATCAATGGAAAAAAAAATTGATTTTGATAATGGCAAAAAAGTGATTTTGGCATGCCAAACATATTCTAAGATTATATATTGGTTCATTTTTTTTTCTTCTTTTTTTAGTACAACATAAGGGGTGAAGACTCGAACTCTCAACCCACTAAGCTATACTCTGATTGGCTCGCTCTTTCTTGCAGGATTAGTTATTAAGAAATTATTTTGACTTTCATAAAATAGAGGCAGCTAAGACAAGGAGGGATTGCCCACTGCCTATAATGTCTTAGTTTCTAGTATAATTAATTTTATATTATTTCGTAAGCAACATTTATTTCGTATCTTTTAATTTTCTAGTGTTTTAACGAAAGAATTTTGTGAATAGGTAAGCACTCCCTCAATGGTTCAAGGTTCATTTTATATAATTCTAAATATGATATATCAAATTTGATATTAAATWAGAAATATATAAATAAAAGAACATAGGAGCAATAGTAATATACAAATTTGTTTGGAATTACAACAAAAATATTATAATGTTCAAACATGATATTTTTCGTCATGTTAAACTGTTGATAGTCGTGGAATTAAAATGAGAAAAAAAAACACTAATTTTGTATTAGTGATGGGTTTAAAATAATAAATATCATATATATGAATAATGATGGAGTTGAATCTCTCAACTTCTACCACTTGTACCTAAAACCTCCAAAAACAACCTTCCCAGCCAGTAGTTGTCAACTACTTGACTTCTCTCATAAAAAATAATAATAATAATAATAATAATAATAATAATTAATAATAAATGGTTAAAATAAACATGGCCAGCTAATAGAAGGGGGGATTTCCATTGCCACTACCRACTCCAAAATTCCCTTTGCATTTTGGTTTCTGAAGCAAAAAGATTATTCCTTTAAGGTAAACCAACGGCTGTCTGCTGTGTTCTCCCAACAACAAATGACCCCTCGAGCTTATGTCTTAATCTTCTTCTTCTGGTCTTTCCTCACCATCCTCACTCCCGCCCTCGTCCTTCTCTCCGAAAATTCAAAATCACCGCCCCCGTCTTTCGATTCTCCCGGTAAGGACCCATTTGATTCTATATTTTGTTTCCCATATTTGATATTTTAAGTTTTGACAGTCGTTTCTGATTCTTTTATTCTCTCAAATTTTTACAGTGAAATAATTAATTTTTTTTAATAAACCATATGGCGAGTGTAGATTTGAACCGAAGAGTTGCCTGAAATAATCAAAATTAGTATGTTATATTTAGTTTTTTAAATATTTATTATGTATTTTATAGGTAAAAGAAATGATATAATAATAATTTTATTTATGTTTTAGGAAAAAAAAACTGGAAATGAGACCGAAATCAGATTCTGTTGTTTCTGAATTTTGAATACAATTTCTTCAATAAATGGGAGATGATGTTTGTAGTTTCTAGTGCTTTGTTTCTGATTTTTCTCTGMTTATTTTCTGTTTGGCAGATGGGAAAAATGGAGGGATTAATATGAGTAGGAAAGTTGTGGGGTTGACGAGAAAATATGAGATGTTGAAAGTTTTGGCCGAAGAACAGAAAGCGCCGACGGCGATTCCAATCCCGGTCACGGTACCGGTGCCGTCGCCGTCGCCGGCTCCGGCTCCGGACGCTGATTTTCCGGTTCGGAGGTTCATGGCTGGTGCTGGAAAAGTCATCTTGACAACATTAAAGGTCTTGAAAGAAGCGTAAGTTATTTTTAAAATATAAATAAATTACATAATGTTTTTGGAGAAAAAAATATGAATTATTGTGACCCTCCTGGAAAATAAAAGTGTAAGAGGGAAGTTATTTGTAAATATTTGACATTTTTCTTAGTTACAAAATAAGAAAAGAAAAATAATCCTGTTTGGAATTTTTTTTTTAATTTAGTCTGTTATATTCATAAATATGAATTTTAGTGGTCAATGTTATAATGGATTATTTATTAGTGATGGCTCAATTAATAAAATTTAAAATTTTTATTGCTTTGCTAATGCTCAACAATGATTTAATATTTCCTTTTAATTACTCAAGAATTCTACTATTCTTGAACTCAAAAAAAAAAAAAAAAGTTCTACTATTTTATTTATTTATTGGTCAACTACGATTAAAATTTCCTATATATGACAGACATAAAAGATTTGAAAAATCATAGATAGTTCTATCGAAAAGGGAAAAAATATTTAATTATAACTGGTTATTTTATTTGGACTTGAATTATTGTGTCTAAATTTTGGACTTTTCTGAAATACTTATATTGTAAATTTATCAAACTCAAATGGTTTAAATTAGATATTATAAAAAGGTTTAAATTAGGCTATAAATCCAACAGGGTTCAAGTAATTATACATATATTACATATATATATTTTTAGTACTAACATGGGGATGAGAATTCGAATTCTCAACCTTTTGATTTGAGATATATGCCAATTAACACTGAGTTATGTTTACTTTGACCCAACTGGATTTAAATTGTGGAGTAAAGATTCAAATTTTCGATTGAGTAAAGTATTACAATTTCAAACCTTAAAGCTTAGTTATAGTCTACTATGTACTATAGAATTTATTTAGTTTTGATGGTTCAAATCATTAATCTTTAAATGGTTTAAGAAAAAGATGGTAAAAAAATAGTATTTTGAGAATCTATTGACCAATTTTTACATATTTGATTAAAAATAGGAGTTTAAATCATCAATTTCATATTTTACTTTATCAAAATACTACTAAGAACTTCAAGGCAATTATTTTCTAATAATTATTATAGAAAAAAAATAATGTTTCTTATTAATAAATTTCAATTGACTCAATTTAATCCAAATTAATTTTTTTAGTATAACGTGTAGGAGTGGAAAATCGAACTCACAGCGTTTTTATCGAAAATAAATACTTTAACCAATTGAGTTAGGTTCATGTTGACAATTAATTTGATAACTTACAAACTTAATTCACATGTATTCAATTTATTTCACAAAACCAATTCAATACGACCTAACCCAATTCAAAAAATTAAGGTTAAATGTAACTAAAACAAAGTAAATCAAACATTAAAATATATTTTTTTTAGTTAGAACAGTCTTTACCATTTGATCCAATAGCGTTCATTAGGTAGGAAGGATTAAGCTATACTTAGGTTGGAACCTCGATAGTTATTTTTTTTAAATGACGTGATCGACTTGATTGGTCATCAGAGAAGAGGTTCGCTATAAAAATTTCAATTTTGTTAGAAAGAGGTCAGACACGACAAAGGAATTAATTAATTATTTTCTAAGCGAGTACTTAAATTATTCAGTTCCTTCCTTAAAAAAAAAGTTTATTCTGTTCCATACCAACCAGAACTGAACTTGATGATTGTGCGTTTTAAATTAAAAATAATAAAAAAGACAACAAATTTGAAATAGAAAAGGAAGCAATTTGTGTTATTTTAAAAGAACAAACGCCAGTTGTGAAAGAGACTTGTTTTTGCATTTTAAGAATTCAGCCTATTTACAATTAAAAAGAAAAGCTTATAATAATTAATAATATAAAGGCGT